CATTCTATTAAACATGATTTCTGGGTGTGCCTGGATGAGATTAGCATCTGAATTGATAGACTGAGTAAAGCAAATTATCCTCTTTCATGTGGGCTAGCTTCACCCAATCTGCTGAGGCCTTTAGTATAACCAAAGCAGGGAGAATTTGTTGTTTGCTTATTTAAGCCAGCACTTACACTACCGATGCTCCAGGTATTATGGAACTGGAAATGACATGGTGCCACACTACTGCCTTTCCTGGGTCTCCAACTTCAGAAGGCAGCTAGTGGGACTTCTCAGCCTCCATAATCACATGAGCCAATTCCTTACAATAAATCTTCCCATAAATCTCTTACTGGTTGTTTCACTGGAAGACCCTAAAACAGACCTACAAAAACTTTATTGGTTTCCTTTAATCTATCAGCATGTTTGGATTCATAGTAGCCAAATCCCTCAAGATATTATTTCCAGAAAAAAAGTTAGTAAGTGGTTTAGTTGTGCACACTTAAGGTGAAGTATCCAACTAAAAAAAAAAACAAAAAAAGCTGGGCACCAGTGACTCATGTCTGTAATCCTAGCTACTCGGAAGGCTGATATTGGGAGATTCATAGTTCAAGGCCAGCCTGTGCAAATAGTGAGACCCCATTTCCAAAATAACTGGAGCAAAAATGGACCACCATGGCTCAAGTGGTAGAGGGCCTGCTTTGCAAGCTCAAAGCCCTGAGTTCAAACCCTAGCCCCACCAAAAAAAAAAAAAAATTACTCTTGGCCCAGTATGGTGTTACATGAATATAATCCCAGTACTGGGGAGGCTGCAGAAGTTGAATCAAGAGTTCAAGGCCAGTATTGGTAATACAATGAGACTGTCGCAAAGAAAAATTGGGGCTGGGGGTGTGGCTCAAGAGGCAGAGTGCCTGCTTAAGAAACATGACACTGAATTCAGATCCCAGTACTGTCTACACACACACACACACACACACACACACACACACAAGAGCTTAGTGTAGAACCTGGCAAAATAAGCAGGGCTGAGATTTATCTAAGTGGCAGAACACTTCTCTTAATATTTTGAGTCCCTAGGTTTGATCCGCAGCAATAAAAACCCAAAATCCCCCAAACCAACCATTTATAATCTATGAAATAGCAAGAATACAAACAGGTGGGGTAAACTGACTTCACTATAGAAACTACATAAATAATACCTTGATATAATCTTACCAAGATACATCAAGTATGGTGAATCCTAATTATTAAGATTCTGTAAATTGGGCACAGGTGGCTCATTTCTGTAATCCTAGCTATTTGAAAAGCTGGGATTTCGAGGATCACAGTTTAAGGTCAGCCTCAGCAAATAGCTGGCAAGACTTAAATCTCCAAAATAATCACAGCAAAATGGAACTAACTGCACTGGACAACTATATGCTTTGCTATTAATTTAAATCTCATTATATATTAACCTTCCCCAAAATTTGTGGAAAAATAAAAGCTGATTCAGGTAAATGGAACACTATGTTCCTGCATAGAAAAATCTAAATATTGCAAATTTATCTTCCTTTTCACAAGTATTTCTACCTTTATTTTGTGGCTCCCCCAGTTTCACAGTAATTACTTTCTAAGTAATAAAGACTAATATCAGATACTTTTAATGTCTCTAGATAATGTATGCTATTAGTTTATGATGTTCTTCATGTTAAAGAAGTACTGTCTAGGTTAGATGTTCAGGAATGAGTTCTTTGATATTAAATGTCATACTGACATCTATTATAGAGGATCACATAAATTTTTTGTTTGCTGACTATATCATAACATTTCAAAAGACAAAGCCATCCTCGTAAAATCAACATAGTTAAAAGGCACTGTGAAATTCAGTTTTCTGATGTTTTTCTTAGCATTTTCAATCCATACTTGAGCTTTAACTATCAAATGTGTGCAAAATGCTGCAGCACTGATACTGATCCTACATGTTTCTTTGGGGATGTGTGTGTGAATGGGGCAAAAGCAGCATGTTAAAATCCAGTCTGTTTTCTATTACAATGCAGACTTCCTTTCAGTCAAATAGCTTTTCTTCACATAATTGAAGCCCTTACACATAAAAAATTAAATGATAATCTCTAGTGAAATACTCATCTAGTACCCACTGTGGTTTATTCTTATATTTAAACGGTTACTAGGACACTACTAACATCCTAGGCACTAAACTCTCTAAACTGTTGACATTTGACTTAAAATGACAATGAGTTGCCAATACACACTATTAAATGGACAAAATATGAAACACTGGAGTAGTTACAATTTGCAATGATACATCAATTTTTATTTAATATCTGCCTCCCTTTTAATCTATAAGCACAATGAAGGCAGGGGCCAATATTTGCATGAGGTTATTTTCTGTTTGGCTCCTTTTCTCCACCCTACTGCATGGCAATAGGCTCCTTTGCCTTCTGCTTTGACACAATCAACAGGTCCATCAACGGATCAGAAGATGAGGAAAAATGAGAGCCAGATATTTATTCCCCCAGCTTTTTGTTTTTCCTTACGGTACTAGGGATCAAACCCAGGTTCTTGCTCAGCTACATCCATAGCTTCCCCCAGCTTAATTTACAAGACAGGGAGAAAATTAAATATTGGTTTATTTTATGTTGGCTTTTTTTTTTTTTTTTCTTTTTGGCAGTACCAGGGTTTGAACTCAGGGCCTCATGCTTTCTAGGCAGGCACTCTACCAGTTGAGCCTCTCTGACAGCCCTTTTTTGTGCTGATTAGTTTTGACAGGGCCTTGAGAACTATTTGTCTGGGCTGGCTTCAAACCTCAATCTTCCCAATCTCTGCCTCTTGAGTAGCTAGGATTACAGGTGTGAGCTACTAATGTCAGACTCTAGTGACTCAATTTTAATATGTCTCATGGATTGGTTCTAGGATGCTCTGCAGATACAGAAACCCAAGGATACTTACAAATAACCTATACACATCCTCTGATATTCTTGTGTGCTGAGGATTAAACCCAAGGCCTTACACACACTTGTACACTCTAAATTATCTCTAGATTATAGTATATATGCTATGCAATCAAGTTGTTATTTGTAATGTTTAGGGGATAATGACAATGAAGTCTGTACATGTTCAGCACAGACACAATTATTTTTAATCCTTTGGTAGGCTGAACTCCAGATATGGAGGGTCAACTGTACTTACTATTAAAGAACCTCCGTATGAGGTGGTATTAATAATTATGGATTTCATACATATTCCTCTTTTGGGATCATAGACTTTATGATAAAGTTGCCTGACCACAGCTGGATTTATGACAAAATAACTACTGTGTGGTTACTGCAATGACTTATAAACAAAGTATGGAATAACTAAGTATTTGAATTTACTTAATGTTACTTTAAATTTTTAAGTATTTTCTCTCTCATATACATACCTTTTGCTATTTCTTAATTTATGCAACCCCTTTATAATGGCTAACCTTTATTTTATTTTTTCAATTTCTGGGGGTGGCATTTGGGTTTGAACCCAGGGCTTGCTAGTGCTCTACCACATGAGTCACATCCTCAGTCCTTTTTGCTTTTAGTTATTTTTCAAATAGGGTCTCAAGTTTATGATTCTCCTATTCAGGCTTCTGGCATAGGTGGGAAGACATATGAGACAACCAAGCCCAGACTTCTATTGGTTGAGATGGGGTCTTCCAAAATGTTTTGCTCCTGTTAGCCTCAAACCATGATCCTTCTGATCTTCACCTCCCAAACAGACAGGATTACAGGTATAATCCACCATACCTGGCCCCTAAATTTTTAAAGATAAAAATCCTACCAGAAAAATTTTCTTCTCACTTAAATACTAAAACCCATATATATATCAAGAATAATGAAAACAGAATTAGCCCCCACATATACCCTTAGCATATAAATACATGACAGCAAGCTGTATAAGGAACTGTATATTCTAAGACATATATTCCTCTAAGGTTAACCAAATAAAACAATCTTTAAAAATTCTTATGAATGATTGTTTTCCTAACAAATAAAGTAGGTCTTTTCCTTTTTGTTCTTACAGAGTGGTACATTCCATATTAATTGGTTTCACAGATGATTTATTTAGTAAACACCTAGAGTTTCGACTCAGAAGAACATATTGCCAGGTGCCAGTGGCTCACACCTGTAATCCTAGCTACATGGGAGGCTGAGATTGGGAGGACAGCAGTTCAAGGAGAGCAAGGGCAAATAGCTCATGAGATCCCCCTCTCCAAAATAACCAGAGCTGTACAGAGCTCAAGCTGTACAGAGCCAGCTTTGCAAGTTTGAAGCCCTGAGTTCAAACTCCAGTTCCACTAAAACAACCACTATTCTATTGAGAACCTATAAAAAGCAAAAAAATAAAAATAACAAAAACCATTAACAATGACAAGGACTGGAGGCATGACTCAAGTGGTAGAGTTCAAACCCCAGTACTGGAAAAAAAAGAAAAAAAAGAACAATGACAACAAAATCAACAATTCTGACTTAGAAGACAGCTACAACTTTTACCACATATCTATGGTCCAATGAAACAAAACTGAAGGAGGCAGAATCAATTGAAGATCCTATTCCATAAGGACTCTAATTTTTCAATTACCAAAAAGAATTTATTTTGGGCTGGAGACATGCTCAGTGGTTCAGTGTTTGCCCCCCAGCATGCATGAGGTTCTGGATTTAATCCACAGTACAGAAAAAAAACACAAAAACTTATTTCACCAGTAAGTAGGTTCTACACTACTGAATCAAGAGCACAGCAATAAAATGCATATTGAGTACATGTGAAATCATCAGGTACATAGTCCATATACACTTAGCATAAAGAAAAATTTCAGTTAAAAAAATTAACAGACTCATTTCTCATGCCCTAAACCCCCCCCCCAAAAAAAAAAAAAAAACTTAACAGACTGATTGTATACCATATCAGAATTGATCTGCCTCTCACTCTGTTAATTTTATGGAAATGTAGGAAACTAAAACTTTAATTTGACATAGTCAACAGACAACTTGGTCCCATATTTATGTTTATTTAAAAACTGACAAACAAACAAAGCCTGTACAAAAAATATCCCAAATCACTTATCACACTGAAACAGTAATCTTGAGAGACATTATCGCCTAGGACCCCCTCTTCCTCTGCCACGGCCGCGTCCTCTTCCTCTACCTCTACCTCGGCCTCTTCCTGCAACTGAGAGAAAAGAAAAACAAAGCAAGTTAAATTCCCTCTTTTTTTTTTTAAACCTTGAGACAGTCTCTTGCTATGTATGTATGTATGTATGCGGCCTCCAAGTCATAATCTTCCTGCCTCAGCCTCACAGGAGCTAGGATTACAGGCAAATGCTCTCATACCCAGTCCAAAAAAGTTCAAATATATTATATCAAGTAACAATTTCTTAACTTCAGAACCTTAAAAGTCATTTGATTCAATCATAATCTAGTGATTTAATCCATACAGCACTATCTCTGATACCTGGTCATTTGACCCTTGGTAACTCATTACCAAAATGGAATTATTTTACCTTTGGACAGCTAGGAATATTACAAAATCCTGACATGTACTCAATGTCAGATACAGAATAAAACTTCAAAAGTGTACTTAAAATGACTATCCTATCAATGACAAGAAAAAATGACACCCCCAAAATAATAGGATCCTATATAAAATGATCAAAGGACGCTTAACAACTAAGTATGTATTAGAATTGATGGTAAAAACAGTTCTCAGAAAACAGAAAAAGGCAGAGAGAAAAATAAGAGAAATGGTAAGAATTATAGATCAATTACTATAAGTTCCAGGAAGAAAGAACAGAACAAACAAAAGGGAAGAAATTACCAAAAGTAAACTAGTTTAGTTTTCTTAGTTGGAAGGGACAAGGATAGCTACAATTGAAAGGATCTATCAAGTACCCAGAATAACAAAATGGAGGGAACAGAAAGGGGAGAGAGACCCTATGTGAAGCTGTAATGAAATTTCATTAAGGAATAATCAATGTTCTAATGTTTAACTGTGGGAATGGTGAGAGACTGGACCACGCACAAAAGGATAGGAAATAAATACAGTCTCAATCTTTTTAAAAAGCAACACCAGGAGCTGTAATAAATACTATATTCACCCACGGCAAGTATAGGAAATTTCAAACAACAACAAAAACCCTATGTTGTTTGCAAATGTGGTTTGAATACTGGATTAAGGTTTAAGTACACTACATATAGGGCTTAGGTGTGGTTCAGGAGGCAGAATGACTGCCTACGAAGCTTGAGGCCCTGAGTTCAAACCCTACCACCACCAGTAAAACAAAAAATAAATAAATAAATCTACCATACAAATAACATCTGTAACTTACCAGCTTCCCTTTTCTTAGATTTCACCTTAGGTTCAACATCCACAAGTAATGTATCCAGAGGTAAGCTGTCTGGTAGGATGAAATACCGAATGTTATTTCCTCGAATACTTAATGTTTCCAGTTGTACGGGTTCTCTGTTCTTCAGGGTCATTTTCACAGCTTTAAGGTGCGTATTCATGCTGACATCTACACCTAAAGGGACAAAAAATAGGGTAATTAATAACATGATAAAGCAATCAAGACACATTAGCACCTTAAAAGAGTATTGTTTGCTCTGCTATAAGTTTCTCTGACAGAATTTAGCACAGAAACAATAAGTAGATGCAGTAATAATGTCAATGTAAACCAGCAATCTTTCCTTCATAGAGGTTTTCCCTCACTGCACTACTGTTTTAGAAACTAAGTATGCTTGCAGAAGTGAATGAAAAAGACCTGGAGGAAACTTGACTTGCATATTCTATTTGTCTGTTACTCTCTGTATTTTCAATTCCTGTCCACAGGTTTAGAAGGTGTTTATGGCACAGTTCTTCCCTTGTCTATGTAAATTCCTTACACTACATTCCATCAAGCTATGTTCACCTTTGTTTTTAAAGTCCCATAGGTCTTGTCATATTTTTCCCTATGATTAGGAACTTAAGATGTCTGTTTTTTTTGTCCTTTTTTGAGACAGGGTCACAACTGTGCAGCCTAAGCTGCCCTGGGAATATGCTATGGAAGCCAGGCTGGCCTCAAACTTGTAATTCTCCTGCCTCAGCCACCTGAGTACAAACACACACGCTGGGGGACGAGTGGTGGTTCAAGTGGTAGAGCACCAGCATATCAAGAATGAGGCCTGAGGTTCAAACCCCAGTACCACCAAAAGCAAAAAAGATTATTACTGGGTTTTTTTGTTAATACTTTGATTACAAAGTAGCACAGGTTTTGAATGTTCCCATTAAGCCAGTATTTTTAGTGTGCGATTTTTGCCAAATACAAAGCAAGGTTTTTCAGGGCGAATATATAGCTTTATAGCAAAAGCAATTAATTATTGGAAACTTTAATACATGAGATGACTAAAGACAATTTATTTTCTATCCGTAGACATTAAAGGTCTAGGCTTGGGGATATGGGCTCAAGAGGTAAAACAAAACAAACACCTCTTTCTATGTTCTAGGAACTGCATGCCTCACCACTTATGGTAATCTGTTTGGAGCCATCGTGATGACTAAATGTTCCTATCTGTGTATGTTCATACTGGATATAAAACATTTTAAGTAGTGGTTGTCAGTGGAGAGGGAATTCAACTTTTACTAATTCTGCTCCCCCAAATTACTGATACTTTCCCCCTGGAATATCTATTTATTAAGTGCCTATAATAGAGTTGGTAAAACTCACATCACATTATTTGTATTTTGCTTTTTATAACTAGATTTTGATCTCCAAAGTGGCAAAATCAAGACTCTGACTCTATCACAATACCTAAAACAGTGCAAAGAACAATCTAAATCACTGCTTATGGAATTTTAACAGGGCTGCAATTATACTTTCTCAGATATTGTTATAGACAGTATTATGGCCTCATACTGTACTGAATTTGCAATTGGTATCAAAAAGTTCTAGTATATCTTCAAATAGTGTAAGTTTAATACTTTATATTTCTCTTGGTTCAAGTCAGATGGTGGACATACACATTAAAAATTACTTATAAATTTGCAATTTCATTATTTTAGAAAATGGAAACATATACTAAGATAGCATTTTTTTTTCATTTGGTCCATCAATTCTTTTGAAATTTTGTAATTCTTTGGATCACCTATTATGAACAAAGAATACTTCAAAATGTTATTCTGACATTTCTTAATTTCTTAATGAGATCAAATTACCATTCCAACATAAGACATGGAAACCCTATATACTATCCTCAAAAACATTACAACTGGGGACGGGGCAACGACCAAATAATGTGCACACATGTAAGTAAATGTAAAAATGATAAAATAAAATTACAATTTAATAGGGAACACAAAATTATAACAAAAATGTATTTTGGATCAAGCAACATTCTACACAGAGGTACACACACAGTAAAGGCACAGTAGCAAGGAAACAGGTAATCTGGTTGCAGCAAAAGTACTTAAGGTTTAATTAAGGTCAGTTAAATAATTCATATAAAAAGAATAAAGACCTGTTCTATTTCTCTTCCACGAATGGACAAGATGGGGAAAATTATCCCAAGAAAAGAAAAGAAAAAACTCTTTTTAGGAAAAAAAAAAAACCCTGTCCAACTTTCATACCTGTGATTGTTCCATGGACCTGTGTTCCATTCTTCAATTCAATGGTTACAGTTTCATGACTCAATTTCATCAAAAATCTATAAAAAACGGGAATAAAACCAAGAAATTCACCTTTAATGAGCATAATGACAGCATGCTACATGCTAATACAAATTGTCATTTGGAAGTCTAAACCATTACACAACTTAATTGCAAATGAAACCATTCAAGATACTAGACTTAGGGGTGGGACAGTGGCTCAAGTGGTAGAGTACTTGCTCAGTAAACATGACATCCTGAGTTCAAAACCCCAGTACCATCAAAAAAAAAAGAGGATCCTAGACTCATTTTAAGCCACTTAAAAGAAAAAAGAACCTGGGTGCTGGTGGCTCGTGCCTGTAATCCTAATTACTTAGGAGACTGAGATTGGGAGGATTGCAACTTGAGGCCAGCTCAGGAAAAGTTTGTGAAACCCCCATTTCCAAAATAACCAGATCAAAATGGATTGGAGGTGTGGCTTAAGCTGTAGAGCACCTGTTTTGCAAATATGAAGTACTGAGTTCAAACCCCAATCCCACCAAAGAAAAACAGAATTTTAATTGGTAGTGTAAAATCACATGCTTAATTGCATGGGTAGAAACAGAGTAAGAATCTCTTCCTATACCTCTCTTTGAATGGGGATCTACTAGATCATAAGCATATCTAAGATTTGCCTTTTCACAAATTGGGCCATATTCCTATTACATGTAGTTCTCACTTAGCAGTTTATACTAGAAATATTTTCCTATAAATATAAATTCCAAGAACTGGACATTCATAATGTGGATAGAAACAAGTTTGTCTTCAATTTTTTGCTATTACAAACCCATTCATGCAAGCCCTCCCAATACTACTTGCTATCAATTTTCCAAATTTTTGTCAGTTGGGAAAACTGAAAGGGCGATCTGCTTTTCCCCATTGCTTGTGAGACTCAATATCCTTCCTTCCTTTTTTTTTTTTGGTGGGCCTGGGGTTTGAACTCAGGGCTTCAAGCTTACAATGCAGGAAGGTGCTCTATCACTTGAGCCATGCCTACAGTTCATTTTGGTCTGGTTATTCTGGAGATAGGGTCTCGAACTGCCTGGGCTGGCCTTGAACCATGATCCTCCTGATCTCAGCCTCCCAAGTAACTAAGATTATAGGTGTGAGCCACTGCTGCCCAGCTTTTTCCTTTTTTTTCTTGTTAGTACTGGAGTTTAAACTCAGGACCTTCACTAGCTAGACAGGTATTTTTCCACTTGAGCCACACACACCCAGCCTTCCACATCTCTCTTTTTTTTTCGGTACTGGGGCTTAGACTCGGGGCCTACAACTTGAGCCACACCACCAGCCCTATTTTGTGATATTTTTTTTTCTTTTTGGAGACAGGGTCACGTGGACTATTTGTTCGGCCTGGCTTCAAACTACGATCCTGCTGATCACTACCTCCTGAGTAGCTAGGATTATAGGTGTGAGCCACCGGTGCCTGGCCATACCTGTCTAAAATATGAAAAACTTCTATTTCTATTTCTTTTGTGAATTGCCTGTTTGCATTATTCACACACTTCTAATTACCTTGAGTTTTTTTTTTTTTTTCTTTTTTGTATTTTCTATTGGTATGCCATTCATTCAAGTTTGTGGTTTCCTTAGTGGTATACTTCTTTTTGAGAACATGTCTTGCTATGTTGCCCTGGCTGGTCTCAAACTCCTAAACTCAAATGATCCTTTTACCTCAGCTTCTAAGTGTTGGAACTACAGGCACATGCCATCATACCCTGGGTTTTTCAACTCTTCCCATTTGTCAATACTTCTGGGGTATGGGCTTTGATTAGGTCAATGCTTTTCAGACCAAAACTATAAAAGCAGCCTCTTCTTTTAGTTTCATATTTAGAGATTTAATCTACCTGAAATGAATTTTTTTTCAGTACTGAAGTACAAGTCTGCCTTTATTCTTTTCCTCAATTGGAGAGCCACCTGTTTTAATAATGTAAATAAAACGAATAAACCATCTGTTCTTCATGTCATCTAGATTTATTCTCCCCCAGGGAGAACAAATTATGAAATATGAAATACATTATGAAATACTACAGAGGAAGAAAAATTGAACAGTTTACACAAATTACTATGGGGGAGGAGGGGTGAAGGAGAATGATGTGTGTGTGTGGGGGGGTGCATTCAACTATGATATATTGTAAGAACTTTTGTAAATGCCACAATGTACCCCCAGCAAGAAAAAAACCAAGTTATTAAAATGTTGCCATTTCTCCCCCTCTTCTCCCTTTCTCACTCAATTTATACTTTGATGTTGTCATCTGAAAGTAAGCTGCAGGCATTACAGTTTTTATTTTTTTTCTGGCAGTACAGGGGCCAGTCCTTTAGCATGTATTCTGGGTTTTTTTGTTGTTGTTGTTTGTTGTTTGTTTTGTGTGTGTTTTTCTTTTGGTGGGACAGGATGTTGAACTCTGGGCCTCAAGCTGGCAAAGCAGGCTTTCTACGGCTTGAGCCACACCTCTAGTTCATTTTGCTCTGGTTATTTTGGAGATAGGGGTCTGGCAAACTATTTGCATGGGTTGGCCTTGAACCACGATCTTCACTTTTTAGTGATATAGACCACTATCACAAAAGGGAAAACTACTTGGTTTCTGATATCAAACCCCAACTTTATTTTATTTATTTATTTTTTCCTAAGGTGGGAATTTTTATTGAGATTTTTTTTTTAATTTTTCTTTTATTATTCATATGTGCATACAAGGCTTGGTTCATTTCTCCCCCCTGCCCCCACCCCCTCCCTTACCACCCACTCCGCCCCCTCCCTCCCCCCCCAATACCCAGCAGAAACTATTTTGCCCTTATTTCTAATTTTGTTGTAGAGAGAGTATAAGCAGTAATAGGAAGGAACAAGGGTCAAACCCCAACTTTAAAAAGTTCATCTCTCCTAATGTAAAGATCCATGTGTTGAATCTCCTTCCTCCAACAACAACAAAAAGTTTCTCTGCTTGGGAGGCTGAGAATTGGAGGATTATGGTTCAAGGCCTACCCAAGCAAAAGAGTTCCTGAGACCTATGTCAGTGGAAAAAGCTGTGTGTGGTGGCATGCACCTCTCATCCCAGCAGTAGGGAGCACAAAATAGGAGGATGGCAATCCAGGCTGGCTCTGGCAAAACACAGGCTGGCTCTGGCAAAACACAAGAGATCCTGTCTTAGAATAACCAATGCAAAAAGGGCTTTTAAATTATAGGTTCTTCAAATTATTTTTTGGAAGTAGGCAGGATTAAAATAACCTAATCAGGTAATTTGCTGTATCAGGTATTTCTTCAATAAATAATATTTGTCATTACCTATTGTGTCACTGTCTCTGCTTGGTACTGAGTTTTAAAAATAAGCCTAACCCAATCATTATATGCACATATGAATAAAGGAAATAAAAAAAAATAAATAAATAAGCCTAAGCTATCTACAAGCTTACAATCTGGTAGGAAGCTAAGATATATAAAAAAGTATGTGTATATATATATATATATATATATATATATATATACACACATACATATATATTAATGTGTGTATAAAATTTTTTTGTATTTTTTGGCAGTACTGGGATCTGAACTCGGAGCTTCACGACTGCTACAAAGGTGCTCTACCACTTTAGCCACCCCACCAGTCCTTTTTTGTGTTGGGTACTGTCAATATAGGGTCTCATAAACTATTTGCCTAGACTGACTTTGAACCATGATCCTCCTAATCTCTGTTTCCTTAGTAGTAGGATTACAGGTGTGAGCCACCTGGCATATAAAAAGATGTTTTAAAGTAACTATAATTGTAGACTGCAAAGGAGATGTACAAAGGTATACCAGGAACACAATGTAGCATAGTGAGTGTTTAGTGGATCTAGTAAGAGGTCTGAAAAGTTAGAAATACACAGCAAGAAGAGATGACAGCAAGACAGAATGGTAAGAAACAGAAGGTTTCAGAGTAATTATAGGTATTAATGGAATATTAAGTTAAAAAATCAGTAATGAAAAGTAAGGGAGGCTCAGTTCATGGAGACAATATCCTTTTAAAGGTATTCCTTTAGGAGAACCATGGAAGGGTTTTTATCACTTAAATGAAGTGCTAGGGCCATATTCATATTCTAAAGAGAACTAGGACACATATTCAAAGGGGGGTACATATTAAAAAGGATCAGTTTTAGAAAGACAGAAAGTACACAGTACTCAGGACATAAGGAACAACAAACAGACCAATAAAACAGCACAGAGTGCCCAGGAACAGACCTACTTTTTTTTTTTCCCCCCATTTTCTTTTCTTTTTTGGCAGCACTTGAGTTTGAACTCAGGGCTTCACGACGGCTACTAAGGTACTCTACCACTTAAGCCACTCTGTCAGCCCTATTTTTGTGAAGGGTTTTTTGAGATAGGCTCTCCTGAAATATTTGCCTGGGCTGGCTCTGTACTGTGATCCTCCTGATCTCTGCCTCTGGAGGAGCTAGGATTACAAGGGTAAATCAGTGGCACCCACCTAGACCTACATTATTTCTATGTCTGATTTTCCACCAAGTTGGCAGTATGGTCCAATGGGTAAAGGTATTTTCTTCCTTTTTAACAAATGACAGTGTCATAACTGGAAATCTGTGTAAGAAAAAAAAATGAACCAAAGAATTTCTAACATTACTTACCAAAATGAACTCATGATAATTAATTCAGTCCTAAACATAAAAGTTAAGATTATAAAGGTTACATATTGCCTTGGGGTGTAGCTGAAGTGGTAAGAATGCCTGTCTAGCAAATAAAAGGCCTGCACTCAATAGTCTTAAGAGAAAAATATAGGAAGCAGGACACGGTGACACGTGCATGTAATCCCAGCACTCAGGAGGTGGGGGCAGGAGGATTGAGAGTTCAAAGTCAGTCCTGGCAACACAGCAAGAACTTGTCTCAAAAAACCAAGGGCAGGGTATGTAGTTTAGTGATACTAAACTACACTTGCCTATCATGCTCAAGAAGAATTACACCTGTAATCCTAGCTACTCGGGAGGCAGAGATTAGAGGATGGTGGTTCAAAGCCAACCCAGGCAAATAGTTCCAAGAGATAGAATCTTGGAAAAAACCCATCACAAAAAAAGGATGATAGAGTGGCTCAAGGGGTAGGCCCTGAGTTCAAACTCTAGTGCTGTACAAATAAATAAATAAATAGCATTAGCATATAACTATAAAGGGGTGATGTCTGTGACATTTACACATGTGCTTGCAATATACCTTAGTTAGACTCACTTCCTCCATCATTCTCCCTCATTTCCACCCCCACACCAATTAAGACTTCTTAAAAATAAACTTGTGCTCATTAACACACAGTATTGTGGAAATTAACAAGCAATTCACAAACTGGGAGAAATATCTGACAAAAGACTAGTACTTGGATATATAAAGAATTCCAACTCAGTAATAAAAAGAAACAACTGTCAGGGGCTGAAGGTAGGGAGCTTGTTTAGCTCAAACAAGGCCCTGGGTTCAAGTCCCAGCACCCTACTTCAAAACAAAGCAACAAAAAAAACCCCAATTAAAATAAACAACAGACGCAAACAAATGCTTTATATAAAATTCATGCAGCTGGACGTTGTGGAACATAGCTACAATCTCAGCACTATGGAGACTTGAGGCAGGAGGATCTAGAGTTCAAGAACAGCTTGAGTAACTTATCAAGATCCTGTCTTTAAACAAAACAAAACAAAACAAAACTGAAGTTGAGCACTTGTGGCCCATGCCCATAATCCTGGCTACTCAAGAGTCAGAGATCAGGAGGATCACAGTTCGAAGCCAGCCCAGGCAAATAGTTCCTCGAGACCCTATCTCGAAAAGCCCTTCACAAAAAATAGGGTTGGTGGAGTGGCTCAAGGTAAAGGCCCTGAATTCAAGCCAGAACTCAGGAGGCAGAGATCAGGAGGATGGCAGTTGAAAGCCAGCAAGGGCATATAGTTCTGTGGAGACCCTGTCTCCAAAATATCCAACACAAAAAAGGGCTGGTGGAATGGCTCAAGTAGTAGAGTGCCTACCTAGTTCAAATCCCAAAACAAACAACAAATAATCAAAACCCCTGGCAATTATTGAGCACCTGAAACACCAGTAACAATAATCACTTTGAAATATGGTCAAGCAGTTTCTTTTGAGGTTAGATTTATATCTATACAATAACCCAGCAACTCCACTCCTCAGTATTTACCCAAGGGAAATCAAAGCTATGCACACAAAAATTATTTGCATACAAAGGATTAATATCCAATCCCCCCTCCCCCCAATCCTTAGGGAACTAGTTCCTGTTATCTGCCACAGGGTAGATGCATCTCAAAAACATGCAGGATTCCAAATACATGAAATTTCAATGCAGGCAAAAGTAACCAGTGGCAGAAGAAATTGGTTGCACTTGGGGGTATGGAACCAGAGATTGACTAGGAAGGACCTGAAGAAATTTCTTGAGGTTATGGTAAAGTGACATACATATTTTTTGGTGATGCTGGGAATCAACTCAGAGCCTTATGCATGCTAGGCAAATACTCTACCACTGAGCTACACCTGCCAGCCTCAATGTTATATATTTTGACAGGTGTGTGTTGAGTTACATAGGTGTATAGTTTTTGGAAAATGGGACTGGAGGTATGACTCTAGCAATAGAGCACTTGCTTAGTAATCGAAAAGCCCTGAGTTCAAATTCCACACACAGGAAAAATTTTTTTACAATAAAAATTGCTGCAGGCATGGTTCAAGTGGTAGAGCGCCTACCTGCCTAGCAAGTGCAAGGCCCTGAGTTTCAACCCCAGTATTAAAGAAAAAGAGAGAGAAAAGCAGGAAATGCACACTGCATTTCACTGTATAAATATTTACTACAAAGGGGGAAATACACCTACTGTGTGCAACATCCTGGATTCCACCCCCAGGAAAAAAAAATTCAAATCTAGTAGTGACTGGAATGGAAGTGAGGGTACTGAGAGAAGGAAGAACAGCTATCTTATTCTACCTGAGCCAAGGAACCAAATAGATTCAAATTATTTTCTGATGAATCTTTCAATATGTGAGTTCTTTCTTACTGCAAGTTAGATATTACTCAGATAACATGGTGTCTTTTCAGCATCCAAAGTTACGTGATTTGGAACTCAAAAAACAAGAATTGGATAGTGACAGATGTTTTTATTAAGTAAAACTGAAAACTGGCAGTTGATCAGATGTTAGGAATATAGGGAGAAAACCAGTCAAGCTCGCCTCCCAGGTTTTTTGTTGAGGTGACAGTAAGAATAAAGACGATAGATAGTTCCAACCAATTGTGATACAGAATTAAGAAAGCATGTTGAAAGTGCCAACTAGTTCTAAACAACTGTTTTCACGAGGCAAAAATACATTCATTTTTCCAGAAAGAACTGCTCCCATTTTGCACTAAAGACACAAAATGGGATTCAGTAGAGTCATTACAATTACAAGAAAAATCTGTCATAACACAATCTTTAAAGGGGAAAACTCAATTTTTTTAAAATTACATAACAGCTAAGTGACGGCCTGGGATATAAAAAGCTAACTGTAAACAAATTATGATTCAGACTAAGCAAGTATGAAGAAACTGCAAAAATGCATTAACTCCTGAAACTTTTTATCCAAAGTTATAGTTCAAATAAAAACGAATTGGTGAGGCTTGTTTGCAAGCTGGAAACCCTGGGTTCCATGCCCAACAGCAAAAGATTAAAATTAACATCAAAAGGCTTCTCTACAAACTCCTCAATCCCCTAATATAATAGTTATTATTTCAAACATACTACAATTTCTGTTTTTCCCACTATCAGAAAGCTCCAAAATGGGAGGGTCCCTGCCTTTTCTACTCCCCGTGCACAGTGGAACAGGCACTCTTGGCTCAACAGGAGGCTCAACTAACCTTTTCTATTTGCTGCTTAGCTATCACAGCCCTCAGCTCTACGGTCCAAGGGCAGCCTCAAGGAAAAACACCAAAACCAAATCTATTTACAGATAGTTTTTAATTAATTACCCAAGCCAGTAAGCAAGTCTTTAGCAGGCTCCACAAACCGACAATGTAACAGAAAAAAATCAAACGAGTGAAACACTTATTACCTGTGCGACCAGCTTTTTTTTTTTTTTTTAATGATGCCTTCTGCCACTTACTGGGAGGTTTTTCATGAATCAAAAGCTTATCTTAGTGGAAATGTAGTTCAAATTATCAATCATTACATTTAAGGACTATCAAAAAACAAACATGAAAACCCGCAAATTTGTGAAGCCCCTCTGATTTAAAACATGTGGCGAACAGGTCTCGCTACTTCCAGATTAAACTGAAGCAGCTTCTAAGTTCCCTTTTGAAAAAGACTAGAGCTGCCGTCGCAGTGAAAATCGCTAATACCGAAAGCAAACTCGTATAGCTGCTCGCTGCGCCTTTAAGACTCTTGTAGAAACCTTTCCGTTCACTTTCTTGGAGAACACGCAGGATCTGGTAGCCATCCAGAAGGAAAACCAGACTCCGACACCCGTGTCGCCGCCAAGATGGGCGCGGGAGCGGCGGGCGCCGCAGGCCGTTAGCAGGCCGCGCGCACGCGGCTTTCCCGCCTCCCGCAACCCCGGCGCCTCGGCATCCCGATTCGGCCCAAACCCTTCCCTCCTAGCCCCCGCCTCGCTTCGTGATCTGCTCACCTCACGAGCTTCATCCTAGCAGCGCCGTCACCCTTTTAAGTCCGACTGTACACAAAATCCAACAATCGAGGACCAAGCGACCGAACAGGGGTATGAATGGCCGGAAACACCTACTCCACAGGCTCCGGACGTAAAATGCACGCTGAGCGCTGCGGAAGCACGGCGTTTCCGCCCAGTCCGCTCTGGACCGTGCTCACTTCCGGCCACGAGGAGCGCGACAGCGGCCCCCAGCGACCGGAGGAGTGCCTTGCGACTACTGAGGACTTCAAAGCTAGTTTAGGAGGAAATTTCCTACAGTGGTGAGATTTGAAGACCTTAAACCCAGTTAGCCGACCTGTCGTCATCACCCGTAAGCAGAGCAGTACACCGAAAGGAAACACCAAGTGTAACTTCCTCTGAACGAAGAGGAGGCTGAGAGAAGCCCAAGGAGTATTGTAAATTCTGTTCCAACATCAGGAATGGTTGCATTACTTAAAGTGCCTGAAGAAAATCACACAATTTGGTTGATTATTTTTATTTTACCTTCTGAGCTCCAAAGCAAACTTTTCTACCTTCATTTTACTCAACATCTCAGCAACATTTAATTCAAACACTTCCCCACGGAGCACCTTCCTTTCTTGGCTTCCAGGATCCCAAGCACACTGGTTTTCTTCCTATCCTGCTAGGCATTCTTTCTAGGTCTTAGACGGCTCATTTTCCGCTTCTGGAGCCATTACATGTTGGAGTCCCTCTGGGCTACTGCTCGTTTCTCTAGGGATACCTTCTGTAGCCGAGATGATCTCCTAGGGCTTTAATTTGTATCTCTAGTCTGGACTTCATCCCTGATCACCAGAATTCTTGGTTGCTTATTGAACTTTAATGTGTAGAAGTCCTATGCTGGGGAAACTAAGATGAAAATTCTGCTTTACTTGTGGGGCCTGAAACTCTGCATTTTATATGAGAACTTTAGTTGATGAAGATGCCCCCAATCCATGGACCACAATTTCAGTATCAAGGATGTAAGGTGCATTTGTGTGATGTCTTCTCAACATCTATACTTTGCTCTTTCCAAAAGTTTCTAACATCCTTCTAGTGATCCATGTGGTCCTAAGGAAACTGACTCTTTCCTTTATACAAAGGATCACATTCCATTACTTAACCACAATTGACTTGGGAAGTAAGCTGATCCAATCAGAACTTTGGATGGAATGCTCTTCCCTTTTGGATGGCTAACACCTACTCAGCATCTCTCAAATATGTTGGGCCAGGATAATTACTTGTATATGTTAGTGATGAGTTTCTCAGGAGGCAAATTGAAATGCCATTGTCAGTTGATTTAAATCAAACTGCTATAATTTTTGTCTTTATTTTCTAGCTTGAACTTTTTAAAAGAATTTTTACTCTCATTATATAGTATGAGACTGTCTTGAAATAGCAAGGCAGGAGCGACAAAGGAAAGGCCTTTATTTGCTGTTAGCAGGAAGGTCAGTATGAAGTGATACTGTCCTGTTCTCTGTGAGTTAGCAGAGGTTTTGTATGTCAGAGGCATTTAGATTGGTCACACAAAAAGAACAAGGAAATGAGAATGTGACGAATGGGACAATGTGACTATGCCATCATCCATTTTTAGAAGTAGGTGTCCTAATTATGAGCAAGTGCAGAAAAGTACATCCTATAGTTTGGAGCCAGGGAGGAAAACAAGCAATTTAAACAAGCCCAGGCATTTACATTCACGGTTTTAGCAAGAGAATGTTAGCAAGAGAACATACAGTAGGGGCTTGTAGTTGTTGGGTTGTGAAAAGGACCATCATCACTTATAGAACCGTAGTGCTGAGCCCTAAGAGGTGTCATCTGGTTCACAGCATTTGTTTCTAGCATGGGCACATGGCAAAGCTGAATCAATCAGCACTTTCCCCAGAACTTTCTCAGAAGCTGTTAGGAATAGAGGCCTTTCTTTTCACTGGAATCAGTTTACTGTAAACTTATATAATCTTTGCTGAGTTGTCAGGAGAGCCTACTTGAGAATGAGGCTCATACAGAAGAAAGAAGAGCTAACCAATGGAGTATGCTACTGATATAATTTAATCTCAGATTTCGGAGGGCCTGAGGTCAGCTGCTCCCCTAGGGCTCTCAGTTATAGTAGCAATAAAATCCTTTTTTTGGAAATGTTGATTATATTACTTTCAGCTGGACTTCAATAAATTTTCAAACCAAGACATCTGACTAACATTTTGCTTGGATTATCTCTTCTTTCTCTTCTAAGCTGAATGTCTTCCTATATAGTAGTTTTTGCTAGCCCCAGTTCCCTTCTGAATTAAAACTTGCTTTTCTTTCTTTTAGTTGTGATTATATTCTTCCACCAATTCAATGCTAGTCTTCACATTGACCATTATTTGCAAAACCTGAATGCTTTCTTCCCCACTGCCACCCACCAAAACCTGAATTCTTTACTTTTTCCTGAACGAGAACGAAAGCTCAGTCAAGGAAGCAATGTATTCAGTTAATCATTATTTTTACTGGACACCAAGTTAAATGAACCAAATTCCAAAGCTCATAGACAGCACTAAAAGAAAACCACTGGTAGAAGGTTTTTACACAGATTTTACCAAATGTGTTATTACAAAGTAATTAAGATTTAAACTATGAAGTGAGACATCTGGCCTATTAATGATAAAGAATAATGACCAAGAAAGTTTACTACTTTTTCACAAAAGCAAACTAGTTTTTTTACAGTACGTTTAGGTAACTGGCTATATATAGTTTTAGAAAAGAAAACTTTCAGTAAAATGCAGATTATTAATTACACATGAAATTACTTTTTTTTGTGGCAGCACTGGGGTGGCCAGGCCTATGGGCTTGCTAGGCAGACGCTCTGCTACTTGGATCACTCTGCAAGTCCTTTTTGTGTTGGTTTTTATTTTTTCCTCTCTCCTGTGTTGATTATTTTTGAGATAAGGTTACACTTTATGACATGACCCTTCTATTTGTCCTCCCTTGAGTAGCTGGTAACAGTTACATACGACAACACACAGTCATTGATTGAGATGGGATTTTATGGGCTGGCCCCCAACCTTGATTTTCACTGCCTCACCTGCCTCCCAAGCAGCATTTTCTTTTCTTTCTTTATTTTTAGGCAGGGTCTTGATTTGTAGCTCAGACTGGCCTCTAACTCATGATCCTCCTATCTCAGACTCCAGAGTGTTGGGCCTATGGTATGTCTGGCTTCCAATTACGTCTGTACCAAAAATAAGTACATATAGTCTGACATTCTTAAGGATTCCTCTGCTCCTGACTGAAGGTATTACAACAGAGTAGGAAAGGATCACTTAGAAGCAACAGCCTATTTTGTGGGAATTAAGCTTGTAAATGTGGCTTCTGTGTATACCAGAATTTAAGTTATTAAAGATAATGTGATTTACTCAACTAAAAGAAACCCTGCCAGTTGTTTGTAATAATTTTTAATGAAGGTGAACATAGCTCTGATACCCTGATAAATAATCTGCTTTAACCAGGTCAAGTTTACTCCTGAGGCTTTTTTCTTTTTTTCAATTTGAGACATTTGGTGTATGCCACTGCGATATGTATCAAGGGGCTGGAGGTGTGGCATAAGTGGTAGAGTGCCTGCCTAGCAAGTGCTTCTGCCAAAAAAATTATATCTGGGAGAGGGCGTGGGGGTGGTGGCAGTGGACAGACTTTTGCCAAGTAGCGCACCGTATTGTAATATGGGGAATGGTCCAACTGTCCAATACCTAACCACAAAATCTCACCACTAAACTGCTAACCAGCTCCTGAAAGTTTTGTGGAAGACGAACGAATTGTCACAAAAACATAAGGCTTGACAAACTTACAGCTCCTTTTGGCTGACCTGGTTTCAATCCACTTCTGCAGCATTAAAAAGCAGTGTGAGAGAGCTGGTGGAGTGGCTCAAGTGCGAGGCCCTGAGTTCAAAACTCCAGTACCACCAAATAAATAAAAAGCAGTGTGAGAACCACATATCCTATGCTAGAAACCTGGGTGCGCCACGACCAAATCTGGTGGAACGCTTTAGATTTCTTGCACGCTATGCTATTAGGCAACAACAACAACAAAAAAGGTGAAGCCCCGTAGTTTTGGGGGTGCAGAGAAAAGGAAAGGGAAGGGTCAGTTAATCCCATCTTCTTTCTGTACATTGGGTCCTACGGAAGATCAAAAAGGTTCTTGGCTTAGACACAAGTGCAAGATTGCCAAGGCAAATCTAGGCCGCTTTTATTCCACGTGACCCGGGGAGGGCAAGCGAGCGCCGCCAGGGGGCGCCGCCAAGGGGCGCGCGGCCGCCTCCCCGCAGGCGTCCACCTGCGGAGGCGCGCACGCGAGGCTTCCCATCGCGCCTGCGCTGACGATGGACTCTGGCTCTTCGTTCCCCGACGCCCAGCCGTCCCGGCCGGGGTGAAAAATTGCGTGACACGCAGCGAGCGTGGCGGCCATCTTCGTCTTCTGGGTACGTCAGCTGGCTAGTTGTGGGGGACTGAAGAGAAGCGTTGCGCAAGCGCACCCACGACGGTCACAGGTAACTCCCATCTGACGGGCGAAGCGTCGTCGTCGTCGCCGGAAGTTTGGTGTTTGCGCCGCGGGGAGGCGGCGGTAGCGGCAGAAGCAGCTGAGTGTCTCCGGATACCCGGATGTGAGGCGTTCCGCTGGCTCTAGTCGGACCCTCGGCCAGGCAGCAGGGAAGGTACAGGAACGTCCTGATCGTCTCCACGCCCGCGTCCTCTCCTCGCGTTTGCCACCCGCTCCAGAGAGGGGGCCGCTGTTCTTCCTGTTCCACCCTCAGTGTCGTGTCGATTCGCATGCTTTTTCTTAGTGTGCTCCCATCGCCTCGCGCCCTGGCGGGGGGGGGGGTGGGAGGGTGGGAGGTTCGGAGATTCGGTCGCCTGAGGTTGGGAACGGATGTCGCTCGCTGCCCAGTGGCCCCGTCACCTGCCGTCAGCGTTGGTTAGGGCCACGCCGCGGGCCGACCGGGGCCTCCGAGGGCTTTCGGAGATGGAGTGCAGCCATGGCGACGACTCGGGCAGCGTCGGCGATGGCCCCGCAGGTAGCTGCGGGTCTTGTCCCCGCCTCCCCCCAACCCCCTCGGCTCTCGCTCTCTCCCTCGCGGAGCTCGCTAGTCTGGCCCGCGC